GAAACTCCGTCTCAAAAAAAAAAAAAAAAAAAAATTTAATAACTACAGCTACACTTTTTAGCATTTTAACACACTTCAGAATTTTTTTTCTTGTTTTATTTTTTTCAAGAAATTAGTCTAGTGCATTTTTATTTGATTTACATGTATTCCAAGTAAACATGGCCTCCTAATTGCTCTGTGGAATGTACTTGACTTTTGAAACGTCTTAGTATATTTATCCAGCCCCAAAACCCATCTGTTGTAATGTCTGCCCTGTTGAAAATAGTTTACAAGCAAAATGATAAATGCAAACTTTAGTCTTACAATAGGCTAAGCAGATTCTCATACCAGTTTGACCATTTTTTAAAATATATTATTATTTTTTTATGGAACGTGTCACAAACTTGCGTGTCATCACTGCGCAGGGGCCATAGCTAATCTTCTCTGTATCATTCCAATTTTAGTATCTGTGCTGCCGAAGCGAGCACCAGTTTGACCATTTTTAAGTATTTTTAAGATATCTCTTTGAGAAATATGATTTTTCATGAGCTGTTCTGTTTGCTCCTCTGTAAATATTAATAGACCAAATATATCAAAAAGTAAACTTTTCTGTTACTCAGTGCTAAATGAAATGATTGCTCATCATAACGGACTCCAACGAAAAATCACGGCAATTATCAAAATCAATGAATTCTCAGATGAGACCACATTAAAAAAAAATCAATGAATTCACCAAGCTGAAGCACTTGCTAACCTTCTTATATGTTCTGTTGACTATACAAAATTTGATTTTTCTTATTATTACTTTCATCTTCCTTATTCCATTTTCTATTTCCTCTTTGGGTATCTTGATTGTCATAGTCATTCTTATTTTCTGTGTTGGCTATCAAAAATATTTTTCTAATCCCAGTAAGGCATGGTAGCACCCCTTCGTAGTCCTAGCTTCTAGAGAGGCCAGGCGGGAGGATCACTTGAGCCCAGGAGTTTGAGGCTGCAGTAAGCTATGATCTCAACGCTGCACCCGAGCCTGGTGGTGATGGAGTGAGATGCTGCCAAAAAAAATTTTTTTTTCTAATTTTAATTGCAACTAACAGAGCTTTTAGTTTCTGTTGTAATATACTAAGATTTTTAAAAAAGCATTTTAAAGCTTCTGTCTTCTTTCTTGATTTCCACAAGGATGCCTTCTTGTCATAATTGAAAAAGTGAAATTATCTTCAGAACAAAAAAACTAAAACTAAGACATACACAAGAGCAATTCAAATGTGTTTCAAATTGATACTACACTGCATACATAGAGCAATATAATGGTACAGTCAAATTCCTTATATATTGCATGCAAAAGTGCAGGAGCTCTGTGTCTGGATTCTTCTTCAGACCATTTCACTCTCTGATGCTAGTTTTTGTTCCATTTCATCTAGAACCAGGAGATTTTGAAGAACAAGGTGACAAATACATTAAAATGCAATCCATCCAGGCATGGCAGCTCACACCTGCAATCCCAACACTGGGAGACCAAGGCAGGAGGATTGCTTGAGTCCAGGAGTTCAAGACCAGCCTAGGCAACATAGTGAAAACCCATCTTTGTTAAGGAAAAAAGTAATATTGGGTGAAGGTGAAGATAAAGAAGGAGACCTAGGCATCTCAGATCAACTTCCTCTTTTCATTCCTAAGACTGTAAGCTTCCCTTTTTCATTCCTAAGACTGTAAACCAAAGCCCTTTTCACATGTAATTCCTAAGACTGTAAACTGACACCCTTTTCATATGTAATTCCTCCAAGACTGTAAACTGAGACCCTTTTCGTATGTTAAACTATAAACCTAAGATTCTTCCATGTGTGACATCTAAAGTATAAGCCTATATAAAGAAGGAACCTTCCTTTGTTAGGCGAGCTTGGCTATTGGGCAAATACGCCACCTTGCTCCTGGCGGAATAAACTCCTTCCTCCAATATTCGGTATCCAAGAGATCCGTTTCCTGTGGCTGCTCCTGAAACAAAGGCACAACACTAAAAAAAAAAAAAAAAAAAAGGAAAAAAGTAATAATAAATAAAAAATAAATTTTAAAAAATGCAATCCCATATGTTGGAATGTATAAAACCCATGACTTCAGGCCGGGTATGGTGGCTCATGCCTGTAATCCCAGCACTATGTGAGGCCAAAGCAGGTGGATTACTTAAGCTCAGGAATTTGAGACCAGCCTGGCCAACATAACAAAACCCCATTCTACAAAAAATACAACAAATTAGCCAGGCGTGGTGGTGCTCACCTGTAATCCTTGCTACTCAGGAGGCTGAGGCAGAAGAATCACTTGAACCCAGAAGGCGGACATTTCAGTGAGCTGAGATTGTGCCTCTGCTCTTCAGCCTGGATGACAGAGCGAAGCTCCGTCTCAAATAAATAAATAAAACCCATGACTTCATACATGTGTATACTCATTGTAGAATTGTTCAGGTTTCTGCCCTAGAAACAGGAATTCTGACGAAATTTATTTTGCCTGATTCTCGTTTTTTTTAAAAACAGTGCATTTTTAGATATATATGCTGCATAATCAAGTATATTCCTGCCGGGCGCGGTGGCTCAAGCCTGTAATCCCAGCACTTTGGGAGGCCGAGGCGGGTGGATCACGAGGTCAAGAGATCGAGACCATCCTGGTCAACATGGTGAAACCCCGTCTCTACTAAAAATACAAAAAATTAGCTGGGCATGGTGGCGCGTGCCTGTAATCCCAGCTACTCAGGAGGCTGAGGCAGGAGAATTGCCTGAACCCGGGAGGCGGAGGTTGCAGTGAGCCAAGATCGCGCCATTGCACTCCAGCCTGGGTAACAAGAGGGAAACTCCGTCCCAAAAAAAAAAAAAAAGTATATTCCTAACAGAAGAGGATTTCTAATTTGATATGCTGTCAATGAGAATCTAATTCCTCTGCTTACGAGTTTATGTGCTTCAAATTGGAAGAATTTTTAACAGATTAGCTTCTGGTTCTACATGTTTCAAACACTGTTTTTCCCCAATTTTTTCTTTTCATTTGCGACAGAGCCTTGGTCTGTCACCGAGGCTGGAGTTCAGTGGTGTGACTGAACTCACTGCAACCTCTGCCTCTGGGGTTTAAGTGATTCTCTCTCATGCCGCAGCCTCCTGAGTAACTGGAACTACAGATGTGCGCCACCATGATCAGCTCATTTTTTTGTATTTTTTGTAGAGACAGGGTTTCACCATGTTGGCCAGGCTGGTCTCAACTCCTGGGCTCAAGTGATCTGCACGTCTCAGCCTCCCAAAGTGCTAGGATTACAGTTGTGAGCCTCCGTGCCAGGCCCCCAATTTTATATACTCACAGAGCAGAAAGCCATAGACATGTTAATGTTATGATACGACCCTGCACCTTCATGTCACAACCCTGGGTGAGATGGTGCAGAGACAGAAGTACTATTCTTGAAACTCCTTCTATACTGGTATGACCACACTGGTACCACCAAATCCAAACTAAATGTTTGTAACTCAACTTTCTTGAGCTGAATTCCAAAATGCAAAAAGATATGTGATGGGGCTGGGCGCGGTAGCTCACGCTTATAATCCCAGCTCTTTGGGAGACGGATCACAAGATCAGGAGATTGAGACTATCCTGGCTAATATGGTGAAACCCCATTTCTACTAAAAATACAAAAAATTAGTCAGGCATAGTGGTGCATGCCTGTAGTACCAGCTACTCAGGAGGCTGAGGCAGGAGAATCCCTTGAACCTGGGAGGTGGAGGCTGCAGTGAGCCAAAATTGCACCACTGCTCTCCAGCCTGGGTGACAGAGTGAGATTCTATCTGAAAGAAAGAGAGAGAAAGAGAAAAGAAAGAAAGAAGAAAGAAAGAAAGAAAGAAAAAGAAAGAAAGAAAGAAAGAAAGAGAGAGAGAGAGAGAGAAAGAAAGAAAGAAAAAGAAGGAAGGAAGGAAGAAGAAGGAAGGAAGGAAGGAAGGAAGGAAGGAAGGAAGGAAAGTGTCTGGTAGAAGGCCTCTCTGGCCCCACCCCCCCAGCCACATGGAAGGAGCTTAACTTCCTTACGTGACTCGGCACAATGCCCCCGACTGAAGGAACTCCAGCCCCTTCCGCCTAGCAACCACCTAACCAATCATCACCTGCCTCTTTAGCTCCCGCCCAGCAAACTTCCTGACCAAATCCTGACCAATCACCATATGCCCTATCAACCTCCTGCCCACTCAACTTCCCGTTCGGCAAACTCCTCGCCCGGCAACCAGGACTAACCAATCATCACCCGCCGCCACTGCTCTCCCACCGCCCCAGGCCCTCTGCCCCTATAAAACCGACCGAACAAGGAAAGCGTGCGCGATTCCTTCCTTCCCGCTTGAGTCGCCCGGAGATCCCAATAAAGTCGGTACCGGTCACCATGCGTCCTGCCTCGTGTCTACTGGGTGCCTGCCTCCGTGGGTTGGGGTCCCACAACCAGAGGTCGCACAGAAAGAAGGAAGGAAGAAAAGAAAAAGAAAGAAGGAAAGAGATGTGATGAAAAGGAGGTTAGAGTGAAAAGACACAGTGGTCTCAACTGACTGCAGTAAAAAATAGTTTGCATGCAGAGGTAGTATCAGAACGGAAAAAATAATAATAATAATAATTTGCAAATTATACAGAATTATATGACCCAGAGAACTCATGGCTAGAATTCCTTGTAGGTTGTTGGAAGGAGTAGGTGCCAGTGAAAAGCCTTGTGTCCTATGCTTCATTCTCTTCACAGAAAATTCTTCTCCAGAAGGCAATAAAGTATTTTAAGAGGAAGATAGGGTTTGCTGTATGAAATGCTGCCAATAAGTATAATGGGATAAAGACTGGCACAAAACTATCAGATATGGCAATGGAAGGTCTTTAGTGACCTTGAAAATCGTGATTCCATTAGAAGATACAAAAGCCATCTTTAAATAGATTAAGGAAAGATGGGAGATTAGGAAGATGACAATGACAACATGCAAAAACTTCTGTTTGGCTATGGTCTTTCTGTACTTAGAGAGAAAGATCTGCAGGATTCATTGTTTAGTGGAAGATAGAGAATAGTGTGTACACTATACTACTCTTGCTGTACGGATTGATATGTGTATCTCTCAATGTCCACAGAAGATGCCTCCAGCGAGGGAAACTGACCTTTGGAATTTTTGAAGCATGTGAATGTATTGTCTATTCAAAACATAATTTTTAGCCAGGTGCAGTGGCTTGTAACTGCCCAATGTGGTGTTCACCTTGCATGCTGCCTAGACAGAGCCAATTTATCAGGGGAATTGCAATAGAGAAAGAGTAATTCCTGGTTTTATTATTCAAATCAGCCTCCCCCAGCAATGGGGATCAGAGTTTTTAAGTACAACTTAGTGAGTTGGGGGGGAAGCCAGTGAGCTGGGAGTGCTGATTGGTTGGGCTGGAGATGCAGTCATAGGGAGTCGAAGCTGTCTTCTTGTGCTGAGTCAGTTCCTGGGGGTGGGAGTGTCACAAGATCAGATGAGCC